ATCCCTAAGTCTCCACTAAGATTTCATAATTCCTCCCCTCCTACATCTGCCTTTGACTGATATCTCTTATGGATGTAGCACTTCTTCTCATTCTTCCTTCTTGGTTATTGATCTATATCCCTATTCACAAACCTAGGCAGTCTACTTACGCCACTTCCTTCCGCATCCATATATAATTATCTACAAATTTAACAATATTACATTTAGATGCGCACTAATAACATACTAATTATCCACTAACTAATTTATTTATATATTTAAACTAATTTAAAAAAATAAATAAAAACTCATATAATAATTAAACTAATTTAATTATCCATTAAACTAGTTTATTTATATATTTAAACTAATTTAACGAAACAATTAAACAACTCAAATAATAATTGACTAAGTTAATTAACCATTAAACTAATTTACTTATATAGTAATTTAGATGACTCGTTGATTATGTAACTCATTAAATTACTAATTAAACTCCTCATATAATAATGATTAACTCATTTAATTAAATAATTTTTTTAAGGCTAGCCGAAAAGTTCTTGGGGCACAGACATTGTCGGGCCAAAAGAAACGAACGACAGTGACGATGCCAACACGGAAGATTGCAGCAGTAATAGGCTCAAGATAGGGTGCATAATTCATCCCATCAATAACTAAATTTGAATCCTTTATTTAGAAAATTCATATCTAAGGAACTCTTTATTTAGAAAATTCATATTTAAGGATGGAAAATTAAAGGTCATTTTTATTTTCCCTGGCTTTCTTAATCGGTTTATATCTTCTTCGTTTTAATTTGGATTTTTTTTTTTTGCACAGATGGAACGAGTTCGTTGTGCTCTACAAAATGATATCCATTTTCAATATTTTTTGAGAAAAAAAATTTCTTGCCTCTCGGTACCAACTGCATATCATATAGTATTTTCTTCGTTTTTAATTCGTTTTTAAAAACGTTTGCATAGAAGGAACGAGTTCATCATGATCTATTGGATCTACAAATTTCTGGGTGAACAAATTACAAGACCAAAAAATATCACACAATACCACCCTGGTACGGGGTGGTATCTTGTGGTACACAATGTTAAAAGTCGTAAATGACAGTTAATATACTTCTACTATCATGTATTCTATCATCCTACAGTCTTGGTTTGTTCATACCACCATGGTACGCTTTTCAAACCATAGGTATGTTCTTATTTCAATACTAGTCAATACCATATGGTATAGACTGGTAAAAAATGACTCAATTTTTTTTGTTCGGAGAATATATCAAAGTGGATATCATTTTGAAGAGCACAATTAATCTGATCTAACTGTACAAAAAAATTAAATTACAACTTAAAACGAGTGAGCAATCATCCACCAAAGATTAAGGAGGAGAAAATTAAAGACACTTTCCAGGAGAGAGAGGGATGATGATGTCATGTTAATGTGGACGGGTTACTCATGGTTACTCACCATAAGGTTACTGATGTGATCTCTTCCCGCAATAATGACCTCGCTGAGCCACCTTGCGCCAGGTCCGGCTGCCTAACTCTTTCGGCCTATCGTCGTCGCAGCCAAAACCCATTTTCCAGGAGGCTGCACCTGGCGACAGCCGACCCGACACTACACTGGCCAAAATTCATAATCCCAGCAGCGTATCCTGACCCGGGCAAAAAGAATATGTTGGTAGTGGCGTTGTCGAGCCGAAAAAATTTGACGACACGAGAGACGTTGGACCGAGAGAATCCTACGGCTCGTGCCACGTCCGGCAGCCGTATTTTTTTTGTCTCGGTTCAACATTTATTCATATTCCGCCAGAAAATAGGTAAAAAACAAAGAAATAGGTCAGGATGTACTTTTTCTGAAGTCCAGGCAACGACAGAGGTGGATTTTTGGCAAAGAATGGCGGTGGTTGCACGAAGTTCTGTCAAAAGGGGCAGTGGCCGTCGGTAGGACGTCTATTGTGGAGGTGGCTAATAGTTTGATGTATGTAAAGGTTTGTTGTTGTGTTGAATTTATAGATTTGATTAGGAATTTTAAATTTTAAATTGTTTTTGTTGGTAGCAAATAGTCGTCTAACATAATATCGCTCACATGCACAGTTCGTATAATACATCATATGAATGCATCATAACACATCTTTAGACAAGATTTAATCACAAGCACTGTTAGGTAGATTAAGTGCTTTTTACTTTTAATTGTCAAGTCATGCACTCCCCCGTGTACAACCAATAGATGTTGAAACATCGGAAACCAATAAATGTCTTAAGCATCGCCAATCAATACATTAACCATCGCCAATAACCAAGCCTGGTAATGCTCACCCAGAGAGCTGGGCATATAACCATCATATCCAATCATATAGATTGCATGACAAGGCACTATTACATTTATTTTAGGTGTACAAACAAATCTTTAGTTAGTCACATATTCATATGCCATTTTGCATATTTTCCCGAAAGCCATACAAGTTAACCATGATATAATCCTGATTTGCATCTATTTCCATTCAGAATTGATTAATCAAGAACCTATCTTAACTCAATTGAAGACCATTGAATTTTGGCTAAGTATTGTTAATGTTTCAGGTCGCCTCCTTTGCAAGCTTGGTTCTTTCAATTGGCTCGATAGAATGGGATTGTGGGGGTTTGTTTTGAAGATGGAATCACCCTCTACAAGTTGGAGTGCTTGGTTGTTCAAGGAAAGGTTAAGAGGGTCGTTTCTAAAGCTTCCCAAACAACCTTGTCAGAACCGGAGTTCTGCCTGAATTTGGCTAAGGCAGCGACGGTGTTAAGGTGGGGTACTTTGAAGCTCCATTTAGGACAGAGTTTCAAGGTTGATACCACATGAAAGTATGCACATTTTATTACAACGACGAGGCGTTGGATGATTGGAACGAAGATTGGAAAGCGTAGAACGAAAGCTCCATCATGTCGAGGCTGAGTGTCTTATTGGATTAGGATTCCTTTGTTGTTTCGTGTAATTTCCTTTTCATTGTTGGTTTTGATTTCCTTTTCCAGTTGTAATGTGTTTAGAACTTCCTTATGAGTTGTTAGGTTTAGTCAGAATCTATTTAAGTCGAGTCTTTCATTGTAATCGTAATTTTTGCTCAATTGAATAAAATCAAGTGGTTTGAGTTCCATAGCTTTTGCTTTGCAAATTGTGAGATCATCCTAGTGGTTCCTAGGTTTGATCTTGAGCTTGTATCGTTCAAGTACACACCTTGTTCGTGGCCAAGCATAGTTCAAGTACACACCTCTTTCCCTCTGTGAAAGTTGCACGAAAGGTTACCATCCAAACATGACACAAGACTCTGTTTTGTGTTCTTCCCATCCGAAATTCAATCAATCCTCGATTGAATTCAAGGTTGTGCTTCTCTGATCAAATCAACCCAATCAAGGAGTTATCAAACCTTATCTCACTCATTACACACATAAGCATCGCTTCATAAGTCATTCATATATCCTTCATGTAACCAACCCCATTAGGGCCTCATATAACACAGTTAGCAATAACAGTTTTCATAACATCACTTCAATCCATGTGCCACAAGGCCATTCCATAATAACATGTGTTCTTTTCAGAAAAGAAATTCATTTAACAAAGCATTTAATAACCACTCATAAGTCATAATGATCACAACTCGCAAGTTTACAATCATCATAATCACATCATCACCCAATCATAATCATTCGATGATCACTTCCATCCATCCCAACAAAAACTCATTTACGTCATACACAATCATATCAATTGTATTTTTTTAGTCACCAACACATGTCCGTATATCATGTTCACAATTGCACGACATAGATAGCAACTTCATTCATGTACACATGAAACACGTTTTCTTGTAACTCATTCATTGATACACATTGTCAATAATAGGTTGATAGTTCATCTGTCGAATCACATATTAGTGTATTCGTGTCACTTCATCACCCGAATACCATGCTGAAATTAAAGTATATATAGTAGGTTAGAAATTACACACGGTACAATTCAACAGCTATAACCTTCATTTTCCCTCACAAATACTCATATACTATGGAATATCAATAAAAAAAGTGACCTAGGGACGGAGCTAGCGTTGGGGGAGGAGAGGCCATGCCCCCCCCCCCCCCCCCCCCCCCCCCCCCCCCTAAAATTTCTAGGAGTTTAAATTAGATAGGGTCATAGCAACTTTCAAACAAAAATCTCCATGTAGCCTAGTGGATTTTGCTCTGCCATCTTTTTATTATTGGCTTAATGAGGAGAGGTCCATGGTTCGATCCATACTATAATATTTTTTCTTCTTTTAGTTCATTTTGGAATTATATACAATCTCACCAACAGAAGTTAAACAATCTTATTTTCATTTCATTTTTTCTTTCTTTTAGTTCATTTTGGAATTATATACAATCTCACCAATAGAAGTTAAACAATCTTATTTTCATTTCATTTTTTCTTTCTTTTAGTTCATTTTGGAATTATATACAATCTCACAAGCAGAAGTTAAACAATCTTATTTTCATTTGTTAAACAATCTTATTTTTCTGTTATAGCTAATTTCTCTTGAAGTATATGTATACTTTTTATTTAGTCATTTTACCTTGTTGTTGATAACTTTTGTTGAATTATATATGTATTTTATTATCATTTAAAAGGAACATTTATTATTTTTCTTCTTTTAGTTCATTTTGGAATTATATACAATCTCACCAACAAAAGTTAAACAATCTTATTTGCATTTCATTTTTTCTTTCTTTTAGTTCATTTTGGAATTATATACAATCTCACAAGCAGAAGTTAAACAATCTTATTTTTCTGTTATAGCTAATTTCTCTTGAAGTATATGTGTACTTTTTATTTAGTCATTTTACCTTGTTGTTGATAACTTTTGTTGAATTATATATGTATTTTATTATCATTTAAAAGGAACATTTAACATTATCCTTTGTGAAAATTCGATTTCAATTTTAATGTTGTTAACTTATTGTTTGAAATATATATGCATACTCTTGAAAGTCGCTTTCAAAACTTAATGTAAAACTTTATTTTCAACTTAAATACCAAAAGAATGTGTAATTTCCTCAACAAATTATAGGTAGTCAATTGTATTATAATACTTTGTAAAATCATATGTTATTTCTACAGTGAAACTTTGTATTAACCTTGTTGTATGAACTAAATTTCTTCAATTAATTCTAATTTCTTGGGTGATTTTTCAAGAATTTACGAAAATATTTTCATTATTTTTTTGTTGCAACTGAAATTTCAGCATTCACTGGTAATCATGACATGTTTTCAAGTCCAAAGAGAAAACGGCTGGTAGTAACTGGGTCGTTCGTCTCTTTTAGACATGTAATAGCAAGAGATGGAAGTTCGATTAAGTTCTGGCCTTCTTTGGTGTGCTGTCATCCCCATGCTCAGGCTTGCGTTTTATCCCCAGGAAATGCTCGACCTGAGACATTGAGCAAGAAAATATCTGGCATAAGATTTTGATGCAGAGCCCATTGCTTCAAAAAGGCCCGAGTAAAGGCAGCAGCAACTTTATACGTGAGGGTCACACTACTCTTAATCACAAATGCTAACCTTTTTATCACCAAGCATTGGTGTCAACCCACCCCCTGGAAACTCGTTTTCCACCGTTGCAAAACCACTCCTTGGATCACTCGTTTGCCTGCAATGAATTCGTTTGAGAGAATTTATTCCCTAAAATATGTGCTAATGATCATCATGTCAATAAAGACATGCTTATTACACTGCTCTGAGATCTTTCTAACTTCAATCTAATACGAGAAAGACAGGCAGACAGACAGAAAAAGAAGAGAAGAGAAGAGAATCATACCCAGGTCTCACGTGACCACTAAGAACGAGATATGGTGTCCTTAGCTGCGCCTGAGCTTCCCTCATCCTCTCCACGGATAATGAAGGAGTATCTGAATTCTTCATTTGCTTCAGCTTCTGCTCTTCCTGATATTGCTTCATCCGCTTCTCTTGCTTCATTTTCCCGGGCGCCTTGCCATGGAATGTATGAGAGATCTTCCTAAATGCCTCTTTTGGTGTCATCTGATATTTCATGGAAAACAAGTGAAAACTCGGTCAGGACATGGAAATAGAAGTGCAAAAGTAGAAAAGGGCGATCAAGTTGAAACCCCATGATTGAAACAACATATGGTAAAAAAAACCAGTAGTTTAGAAACAAGATGCCTAATAGTTTCTCTATTATCTTTCCAGCAGAACATTGAGAACTATAGAGAAACACCTAGCCTATGATCTCATGCAAGATTGATAGGTAAGAGATACTGTCTTAAAAACTTCAATGAAAATACCAATAACTAAAGGGAGATGGAAGAAATAAGACATGCAGAGAAATAAATGCATCCAAAGCTTAATTGGGTTTTCCAACTTAACGTAATGCAAACATCAAGTTTAAAAGTGAAACAAGACATCAAAAAGCAGGAAAAGATAAGATCAAGGGAACTTACTATTCGCCCAAATTCATCTCTCCTCTCAATACGAAGATCCTTAAATCGATCGTTATCCTTATCTTTATTCTTCTCCTTCTCCTTCCCGTCATCAGCATCTACAATGCCAACAAGCTTGCTTTTTTTCTTATCCATATTTCTACCACCCCAGTCAATGCTTTCTTTCAGCGACCCTCGCTCATGGAGCAGCTTCAATGCACCTGATAATCCTTTACCAACAGGAACTTCATGAATGATCTCATCTGGAGCTACCTCTTTTGCATCCTCCATTGTAGTGTCTTCATCTTTAACCATCTCATGTACTTCGGCCAACGCACCAACCTTATCTTCTATCTCCTCATGAGTAGCTACTGCTGCAACATCTTCATCATTGAACACATCTTCGGCATCAGCCTTGTGGGCATCTGAAGAATCAAAAAATGTTCGTTGGTACCCGGATCAGCAAAATATACACATATAAATAAAAACAAAGGAAGAAAGTGGACAAACAAAGTGAAGTTCGAAAAAAAGTGACACCCATAAACAACTAAGCAATATAACTTTCTTGATCCCTTGATACTAAAAGCTCCAGAATTGAGGAAATAAAGAAGGGAAATACCTTCATCAAGCTGCAGTCCCCAAACAAACTCTTCTATCTCAGTGAAGACAACCTTGCCTTCTTGTGATTCATCAGTAGCAGGGTTTTGCTTGTCAGCTGTCTGACTGCTCTTAATATTGGTGGCAAGACGAGCAATTGCTTCAGGGCCAACTACAGCCTTCTCTTGCTTTTTCAGTGCCAACTTTCTTGCTCTTTCAACAGATTTGTGGAGGTCATCCTCTTCATCCTCGTCCATACCCATAACATTAACTTCCTCAGCAGCAGAAGGAATTGTTTGTCCTAATCGTAATGATTTAGATGCCTCCTCCGCTTTAGCTAAAGCTGACTGATATGCTGCATTCCTCATTTCTGCCTCGGATCGCTCTTGTTCTTCTCTGGCCGGCCTTCTACTGTCACTCCTAGAACCAAGATCACCAGTGCCTAACCCTGTGGACATGGCTTCTGCTTCAAGAGCATTTATATCCAACTTATCCTTCTTCCTCAGGGATTTCTTCTTCTTTGGCTTCTTAAACTGAACCATTTCTTCTTGAGTATAGTAATCAGATGATATTCTTCCTGATGAGTTTAGATCTTCCTTACGATTACTTGTGGAAGCACCTTGTAGTCTCCTACGCAACTGGAAAGACGACAAAAGTAAGCTGAAAATTAAAACAAAAAATATGGCAGGACAAGGTCCCTTTGAATTGATCCGGAATACCCTGAGAACAACAGGAAACAACATACCTCCTCTAGTTTTTTCTCTGCTTCGCCACTGAAATTCCCCCTACCATCCAAGGTCAGTCCCTGGAAATAAGTACCAAGGTTAGAAATACCTCTATTGAATAACTTTTACTTTATCAAGGGAGGACGCCTTTCATTTGAGTTTAACATAAAAAAAAACATCCAATAGTAACATCACATCCATACCTCATCTTCTGGTTCATCATATTGAGGAAGCATCTTTTTCTCTGCCATAGGGTCATCATTGAACCTTAAAGGTATACAAAGGTTAGCAATGAGTCTACATGTTAAAACTGTTCAATAGGCAGCTAACAAAGTATTACGCTTACTTGTCATCATAGGTGCCCTTCGGCTTCTTCGCGGCCTTGTAAGCTTCATTACGGCGCTTCTGCTCCCCAATTTCGACATTTTCAAGCATATCGACCTCTGTCAAATTAGACCAAAAACCTCTGTTACACAAAACTCAAGTCGTCAATATGTATTCTTAAGATAAAACAATGGAGCATGACAATTCCATGAACTTTTACCATAATTGATGTCGCCATCAGCAAGAATACTCTGATCTTTAAGAGTCAAAACCACTGCTCCACCTTCTATTACCTTGTCAAGGCCATCTAAAACTTTAACTCCAGCTAAATCATCTGTCAAGTTGCAGTCTCACAATAAGTTAACTGTCATGATAAGGTAACACTATGATTTTTTGGAATCTAAAAAAAAATGCAAAAAATGAGCTTAGCAATCATCTCAGAATTACACCTACAAGACTGAACTTGTATAAACAGCGATTAATTCGGAGGGGTAAGACTAAATAAAGAAACTGATCATACGTGAATGGTTGTGGCTCTTCTCTTCACCATCACTTCCTTCTTCACCGATGTTATCCTGTAGAAATGTTATGAAACCTTGTCAGGCAATAAAATAAAAACAAAACAAAAATACAAGCAGAGGATAATTCATGACACAAGATCAACAAAAGAACCTGCTCCTCGAAATTTTTTGACAGCCGCTTGGCTTTTTCCTTTGCAGCATTCCTTTTCTCCGCAAGCTTACGGTTATTGCTTACCCAAGACAGGATTTCTGAACCAGTATCTATTTTCTTTGTTCTTTCTTCTTTCATTCTGAGTAAAATAAGAAATACGAAATATGATTACTAAATTGAATGCCAAAAGAAAATCTGTGAAAACTTTCTAAAAGAAGTAAACTAATAGAAACACACCAAAAAAAATGTTCCACTGTAGTGTGTTGCTGGATAACAGTACTAATGACTTATCAACCAATCCAGTACACAAATAAATAAATAACTGGGATTAGATTGCACGTTGACCAGAACTGGAATAGCAATAGTGGCAATTTAAGACACAGCAGGCAGGATGCATCTGAGTGAAACTAATAATAGCAGTTTTTTCAGTTCAAGTAAGGAAAGAATCGCTTCTTCTGGGTTTGCAGGTCCTCAAAATGTGTTGCTCCAATATAATTAAACCTATGTAGATAGTAAGACAACATAAGAAATATTAGTGCTCACTGACTATGGTATGAGGAGATGCGAGAGCTGCCTGCAACTCAGCTTACAGCATCAGTTACTAGAAGGTGAATCACAATAGTGATTGGCAGAAAATCGGTTCACCAAAGAGATTTTAAATTCCTTTGCCAGATTGAAGAGCAAAGAAAATGGAACAAACGAAGAAAACATAATGGGTTCATGAATAAGTTACTTACTTCATAATACGGTCCCTAAATTCAGATGTTGATGTTTGTCCTCCACTGGAAGAGCGATCAGCATTTTGCTGCTCTTCGTCAAGAAAGGACACTTTTCCTCGTGACGAAACTTTGCTATGTCCATCATGTTCCCGGTCCACCAGAATTTTATCATCCTTAGCCTTCTTGGGATCTTCTTGCAAGTCATCTTTGCTCCCATCTCTATCCCTTGATCGCTCTTTACCTTGATCTACTTCTCTTTCTCTTTCTTTTGTCTTCTCTCGTCCCTTCTCTCTGTCTCCATCTTTATCATTTTCCCTAAGCTTCACACGAACCTTAAGCTTGTCATTCTCTTTCTCTCTTTCCTTATCCTTGGTTCGGTCCCTATCTCTAGTCTTCTCCTTGCTCCTCTCTTTATCAGTCTCTCTCTCCCTATCTCTATTTTTTTCCTTCCCTCGGTCTTTTCTGTCCTTATCTTTATCTCGTTCAAGCTCCTCTCCAGATCTGTCCAGGTCTTGATCTTTATCCTTTCCCTTTACATCCTTGCTCTTTTCTTTCCCCTGGTTCGTGAACTTCTCATCTGAAACATCATCAATATTCTTCCTAGATCTATCTCGTTCTTTCGCTCTATATTCCGTGTCTCTGTCTTTCTCATCTCCTCTGCTACTTCTCCTCCTATCCTTCTCTCTTCCATAATGCTTGTTAAACTTTTCAACTCCACTTAGCCCCAAATCATCAACTAATCTCGGAGAATCATCGGGATCGGCCTTCTCTTCCCGACGGTCATGCCTAGACTCAAGATGCCTCTCATCCATTACTAGTTCACAAAAAGTAAAATGCCATATTATAACACCCAATCAACCACACATCTACACCACGATTATAGGCTTACAATCAACACAAACAGCTAGCTCTCGTGACATGGAAACAAAGTTTACAAATCACAACTATAGCTTTACAATTACTTCAAAGGATGTACATTCCATTACTGTCAACATGATCCATGACCCGAAAGGCACATTCCCTCTGTTTTTACTATTTACAAGCAAAAACATTGTCTGGATTGATCACCATTGTGGATCAAATTTAGCTAACATCGAGAAGCTAACTAATATATTACAGCTAACAACGAACTACTTAACTGCAAAGAGAGACCAGCTATAATAATGAATCAGTTCCAGAGCAAATACTCATCGGCAAAGATAGGACTGATTTCAAAAAACAACAAGGAGTCAATAATACTCACCAGATGGAGAAACAAAGAGAGTGGCGGTGGTGTGATCGACGGCGGAGGATGAGGCAGCTGTTGCTGCTGTATACCTGAGAGACTGACCGGAGAAGGAGGAAGCAGCGGCCAACGGCTGTCGCTTGTTTCGGGAGAAAGACTCAAAGAGAGGACGAGTCGAGTTTGGGCAGCGGGCTGTCGGGTTTTGGGAATTGGGAGAAAGGAGGTAGTGGCTGTCTTAGACTCTTGGTTTGTCTTTGAGACCTTTAGGTACGACGGCAACGGTGGCCGGACCGTCGGAGGACAATCAATCCCCTTCTTCCGTTTTTCCTTGGCCGCTGCCTAGGTTTGCGATTTGGTAGATGCCTGAACGGAGGACGAAGCAGAGAGGAAACCTATACCGGCAAATTTGCTAAATTACACATTTAGTCACTTAATCTATCAAATTCGTTATAGTTACCATTCAAAAACCTTTCCTTTTCTCACTAGTCACTAGTAGTCACGCCTTGATTCAAGATTCACTAACCGCCTAATTTCGTTAAGTTCGTTATAAATTACACTCATCTATAACTATTCATTGTTAAACGGATGACGTCTTGACTAAACAAATAATAAAATTTTAGATTACAATTTTTTTATTTTCCATCTCATTTTTTGCGAGATCGGATAGTGTACTTTCAATTTTTTTATATTCCATCTCATTTTTTTGCGGGATCTAATAGTGTACTAACACTTTGTTATCATGGTGGTACCATATGGTACGGTATGATATGATATTTTATAATAGGGAACAAAAAACATTAGTTGTCATGGTGGTACAAAATTGCACATACCTCAATCTCGGATGCCAAAGGAGGAAAGATAAGGATGGATAGTGTATAGGTGGGTTACCATCCATGGTGAGATGAGGGAAAATCATAATGAAAGATGCAATGAGGAAGAAAAGATTGGACTTATTAGAGGCTACAAGACGAAAAAGGCGAAGATATAACAAGGGATGAAGGGACCGGTTAGCTTGCTAACTCCTCTATGGAGTTGGAAAAATGACATCCCTTATTAATTATAGTTAATTATGATATTAAATCCATGTTACATTTAATAATCTTTAAAATTAAGAACTAATATTAATTACATTTCTTTTTTAACTACCATTGCACTCATATAACTTTCATTCCATCTATACACTGAATCATATTAATCACATTGTTATGAAATAATATAGTATGGTGGATGTCCATTGGATGCTACTTTGAATTCCATATGGGATGTTACATTAGGAGGTAATTACCTCCCGACATTGATCATGGAAATGAATTCTCTTCATGGTTATTATATCACATTTATGTGCATTGATAGAGGAGAATGTGAAGGTTATGTATATGTGCCTATAAATAGAGCTCCCCATTGTACAAAGGAAGAAGAATGAATAAGAAGAACTATTCCCCTCTCTTCTCTAGTGTCTTTCCCTCTCTAATCTTCTCTTGTAGTTGTTTGTATTTTCCATTAGTTTTGTAACACGTTATCAGCACGAAGCTCTGCCGAAGTTATGGATGGTCATTGTCTCTCTACAAAATCAAATATACTTGAGTAAGATCACAACACGATTAAGGTATGCAAATTTTCATGGCGTTTCTTGTTAGTATGTTTATCTATCTCATTATCTTTGAGAGGTTATTTGATCTTGTTATTTGTTTATATTATTTTATGAACTTATTTTATATATGTTGATCTGGTAACATAGATTTTGTGCTTGGACATTATAAACAAATGAAAATTGCTCCTGTAGTAGCAAAATCATTATGGGTTGACTTATCGATTGCTACATTGGACATATAGAGAAATGAAAGTCTAAAGATCTCATTTTCCCCCGAAGTGGAAAAATGAAGAAAAATGTGTCAAATGAAAGAACTGGATCTGGTGACAAAATTTTTGGAATATGAGTTACCATTGCGGTGAAAAAAAAATCATTGATCTTGCACCCGATGTATGAAAAGAAGTTTTATTGGTCCAAGAATCATTGAAAGGAAAATGAAAATCTATATGTGCTCCTGCAATAGCAATATTATTGTTGAGGTTTTATAAAGTGCAAGTTAATCTCTTGTTTGTTAAAGGTGAAAAGTGTATTGGACTTGTGATGAGAAATATTATATAATTTGATCTAAAGGTTGTTGTCTCATTCCCGAAAACGAATGAAAGAAACCATTCTTAAAAGTAAATGCAGCGAGACACGCCATTATATAAATATAATTTGGTGTTTGAATAACGACAATCAACAAATGTATTTTTTCACCAGAAGTGAAAGATAAAATTATTATAAATGAGGATGACACACCAATTCATGTAGCAAAAGTCATTATCATATACCGTAACCTTCGTATGTCGAAATGTGTTATGAAACACATATATGTTGTTGTTGTTTTATTATTATTATTATTATTATTATTATTATTTTGTATGATTTTGTATAGAATGAATATTTGCAAAATTCAATACTGGTATTATATTATATAATATGAAAGTAAGAAAAAGCTCTAGAAGAGATTATGTTTTGTTACTTGAAGTAACTAAACAATATGTTGGTGATAACAATACTATGGAAATAGTTTTATCACTATGGATATGTGCTTACAATAATTCACCCAATCAGAAGGTGCCTCATGATCAAAATGTAGTACAAGAGTATGTGAAAGCTCCAGAAGAGCTAATGTTTTGAGACGTGAAGTAACTAAACTGTCAGTTGAAGATGCATTACCGAATTATGAAGATATTCACATAAACGGACATCATAATTGATATTGCATCATATATGTGTTCTAAGAGAACATATACTTAACTGGAGAAATTTGTACTACATGTATAATAGTACATATGAAAGTGTAAACTAGAAGTTTACAAGATCAGATATTTGTTTTGGCATATCCAGTCATACCATCCATGTGAAAAAATGATTGACATATCATATGGAAATTAAGTGACAGTTTAGAGAATTCATCAATCAAAGGATTGATTATGTGATACATGCTCTCGAGGAGAATATACTCGTGAAAATAATTGAATCTGTTGAGATTTTATAAAAGTGTATGCAGAAAAATACACTCTCCGTGCAAATCATATATGATTTTTATGATTTTGATTGATTCATCAACTATATCGTCATATATGTATGTTATCTAACCGCAACCTGATGTTTGCGAGATTAGTTGTTGAAAGATGGATATATTTTGATGATTATCCAATCAAACAGAACTTCTCTTATGAGAACAAGCTAAGCCTATCGATCTCATGTCGAGGCATGCTAGTTAGCATATGGTATCATTAATTCGCATGAAGCCAACAAGTTATCAAAAGTTCCCCCCTTCATACAAATGGTTTTGGTTAGGGACCAAACATTTTAAATGCTAGAACATTTGGGTGTGCAGAATACATCTCAATTGCTCCACCACAACACGTTATGAGTTCCATGAGAACTTATGTTGGACATGGTGTCCATTGCAACGAGAGATTTATTCATGACTCTCTTTGCTAATATCATCATTTTGATGAATTACTTTTCGAACGTGAAAGGGGGGGGGGGGTGAAAAGTAAACAGTTGGGCGTAGATGTGAGTTGGAATCATCATTATCTCATTTTGATCCTCAATGAACCCGAAGTTCATATGGTGATTCGTGGAGAAAAAAAACGTATCGATTGCCAAACGTCTTTTATTCACTAAAAGGGTGATTATGTCACATGCCCAATTGTGAATGCTCCAATACAAACTGATGTCCATATTGGACAATTTAAAGATTCTAAACGAGCGCATGAAGCGTGGTAGACCAATTAGTTCCAAGGATAAAAAAAAATTCTCGAGAAAGGAAGGAGCTATAAATTAAGATGGCCAACTCGAGGATAAAGTAGCTCTAGAAGAGTCAAGTCATATAGATGTCGACAAGGGTTTTGATTATGTTGCAGCGATGAAAGTGATAGATACAAAGAGGATCAAAAGTAAAAGTCTATTTATGCATACAAAGGAATATTTATTGGCCAATATAAAAGAAAGCATTAGACTTATTTGGTATAAGTTTTGGACCAGAAGTCCTGACACCCGAAGATGTAAAACTAAAGGGATACAAATGGATTTTGTGCAAAAGCGTGTGAAAATTGTGAGTGATATAACACAATTTCTCATAAGAGATTTCTCGTAGAAACCTAACATTAATTATGAGAGGAAATACTCTCTTGTGGTGGATGCAACTATGTTGTGCAATTTAAATAGTTTGGCAGTTCAAAAAGTATGAAATTTGCATTTGGTAGATATTGTGATAGCCTATTTGTATGGATCCCTTGATAATGATATTTATACAAAAATCCCTGAAGGATTAGTTTGCCAGAAGCAAACATGTGACGTTCTCGAGAACAATATCGATCGATAAAACAATTGACTCACTTCTACTGTCACTCCAGGAATTGGCCAAGTGAAACCACTTCCTAAAGCGTAGTATAGCGGGTTTGGGTTTAATTATCAACCCGGGTCCTAGATTTGATGACTACTCAGTGAATTCTTGTTATCTAGCAATGAAACTTTAATGCAAGTCTAAACTAACAAACTAACAAAGCAAGTAAACTGTTGTATTCAGGTTAAGAGAGGTCACCCGGATATGGTTCCCCCTAGACTGCAGTTAAGCCGGATTGTAATTACCAAGTTCAGTTTCTATGATAGTTATACTGCGGAAGGTTCTTAAACAGCCTGAAGTCTCGACTAAAGGTCTTCAGACCCTCTCAATCTGAGTCTCTAGCGGGCGACTAACCTCCACCGGAGTAAACAGATTGAGGCCCTAAGAACAAAACCTCCACTACCGAAGTGAATCCAGTACAGAATAGTGAGTTGGCTCCTCGACTAAAGTCACCAACTCCCTACCTTCAATCAAGGATGCTCTATCAACCTAGGCAGATATTCTCATTCTAGGTCAAGCAAAAACAACAGGAATTTGATCAGGATTCAAGTCATTCAATCATTCAAACCTCAATCGAATATAATCAAATCATAGAATCAGTACTTGGGTTCATACAATCAAAGCCTAACATACAAATCTAGGGTTCTCCATACCCAGATGAATGGGAGAACTACTCCATAGAGAAAGAAGCAAAAGCAGAATCAGCGCGGAATTCATACTGTGAAGGATGGATTCCTGCTCCTGGACGTTGATCGGCACTTCTCCAAGCTCAAGCCAAGCTCCAATGGTGATGAAGATCAAGCTAGGGCACTTGGAGACTCTTGTTCGTCGCTTTCTCTCTCTAGGAATCTCTATGTCTCTCTAAAACTCGAATCCCCCTGACTTGTGGCTGAAAATCTGCTTAAAAGCAAAAAATCCCGACTCACAC